AAATATAAGTACTTATTATAAGTGTACCGTAGTGATTCGGAATAAGACAACAACGCGGTATGGAAGATGAATTCATGATGTACTCGCTCATTATATACATTTAGCAAATTTTGAACACAGAAAAAGTTACACAGTGCTGCTTTAAAAAAATAGTTTTTCAGTTTTAGTGATGTTTTTTTGTTTTGTTTTCCTCAGATTGAGGAACATTCTTTCAGTAGTTGGTCCTGACGCCTTGAAGAAATCAAAGAAAGAGGATGAAAAAGCAAAACGGACTCATGAGGTAGGAACACCCGTTTTATTCGTTGTATCCTAATTTCATTAAGTTATAGTAGACTGTCATAGATTTGAATTATTGAAGGAAGCTGATTGTCTATGCGTGTGTTTTGTGCAGTATCAGCAGACATGGTACCATGAAGGACCTTCATTTCTGAAAGAGGCACGTGTTTGGTTAGCCAAGTATTCACTGCCCAGGTAAGCAGCACAGGACACCTATTATTTTCCAGTATCTAACAATATAAATATAAAATGCAGCCAAATGTATATATTGTGTATTTTAAAAGCTAGTTTTGTTTTTGTTTGGTTCTCCAGGGCAGTGGAAAGGTTAGATGCCGCAAGGGCACACAAAGAGATTCCAGAATCTACAAGAACAGTAAAACAGCAAGAGCTTCACAAGGCCCTACGGGTACGACAGCATGCCAAGAAAATGGAAAAAGACACAGACTTTATGATGTGTTGCAATTGTCTTTCACTTGTAATGCTGTATATAATTGTTACTGTGTTTTATTTAGAATGTGAATAACTTCTGTAGCCAAATTGGCGATGACCGTCCAATATCTCACTGCCAGTTTAGCCCCAACTCTAAGCTGCTTGTGACTGCTTCATGGTTTGTTTTATCTTATATTTAACTGTGTGTTATTTATTAATTTATTTTATATACACTATTCACAAGAACATATGAGGTTATTTATATATGCTTTGTATGCCAGTAGGAATCATTTCGCAAGAATTGTAATAATCCAGTGAGGTTTTTGTATGAACAAGGAGTCCTACAACAGAAGGTATGGCCCACACACATGATCACTGAGACAGCCTTAATTAAATTACATGAAGAAACAGAAGCAACACAGAAACACATAGAAGGACTGTGCTACTTCTCCAAGATGCTTAGAACAACCTACCTTTGCATTACCTTAGTTTAGGCACTTCCTGTAAAGTGAGGATGTTTTCAAAAGTAATGCTTGGAGTAGTTTATGCTTATCATCAAATTAATATTTGGAGTGACCATTTTTTTGCCTGTAAAATAGAAACAATTCTCCTTATACACTTGCACACAGTTTTTTAAATTACTTGCAGGCTGGTTGTTGGCCAAACTGTCTGTTATAGGACTCTTTGTTCAAACAAGAATTTCTCTGGATTAATAAATTATTCTTTACAAAAAGAATGTTTGGAAACATAAAATTAATTTATAAATAATATGTTTGAGCATCTATTTTAAAAGGCTTGTTATATTTGGTATAAAAACATGTAAAAAAATATATATATTTCTTTGTTTTAGGAGTGGCTTGTGTAAATTGTGGAAAGTCCCAGATTGTACACTTGTACGCACATTAAGAGGTAAATATAACAAATGTGTTCTGTAGCATTTGTTCTTTAAGTTGTGTCTTTGTCATACTTTTTCATTCCAGTTTATAATACAACTTTTACCACTGAATTCATTGAAGGTAAACTTTTCTTTCTCAGGTCACAATACCAACGTGGGAGCGATTAGCTTTCACCCTCAAGCCACACTCACACTCGAGGAGTCGGATGTCAATATGGCCTCCTGTGCTGTGGATGGATCTGTTAAGCTGTGGAGTTTAGACAGGTGTGTATTATAAGTATTATTAAAATTTTCTATGTTAATTTCTAAAAAGTAAAATATTGTAATGTTCTTATCTGTAGTGATGAGCCTGTAGCAGACATTGAGGGGCACTCTATGAGGGTGGCTCGGGTGGCCTGGCATCCCTCTGGGCGGTTTCTGGGCACAACTTGGTATGAATGTATTTTCTCTTTTTATATAATTTATGCAAAACGATGGTATGAATATTGGTGTTGGGATAAAGCTTTTCTTTCCTATATTTAACCAAATTATCATTTTTTATTTGTTGCTCTTTAGCTATGATAACTCATGGCGACTTTGGGATCTTGAAATTCAAGAAGAAATTCTGCATCAGGAGGGTCATAGTAAAGGTGTCCATGACCTGCACTTCCACCCGGATGGCTCTCTGGCAGGAACTGGGTAAGGGCCTCGCACTAAACCCTGAGGCACTCCACTGTTTTTGTAAAGGAATGAGCACCACACTCAGTCTATACAGTTACATCGATGCTCTTATGAGTCCAAATATAATTAATTTATAAATAATATTTTAAAATGTATGTTTGAGCATCTATTTTAAAAGGCTTGTTATATTTGGTATAAAAACATGTAAAAAAAAATATATATTTCTTTGTTTTAGGAGTGGCTTGTGTAAATTGTGGAAAGTCCCAGATTGTACACTTGTACGCACATTAAGAGGTAAATATAACAAATGTGTTCTGTAGCATTTGTTCTTTAAGTTGTGTCTTTGTCATACTTTTTCATTCCAGTTTATAATACAACTTTTACCACTGAATTCATTGAAGGTAAACTTTTCTTTCTCAGGTCACAATACCAACGTGGGAGCGATTAGCTTTCACCCTCAAGCCACACTCACACTCGAGGAGTCGGATGTCAATATGGCCTCCTGTGCTGTGGATGGATCTGTTAAGCTGTGGAGTTTAGACAGGTGTGTATTATAAGTATTATTAAAATTTTCTGTCTTAATTTCTAAAAAGTAAAATATTGTAATGTTCTTATCTGTAGTGATGAGCCTGTAGCAGACATTGAGGGGCACTCTATGAGGGTGGCTCGGGTGGCCTGGCATCCCTCTGGGCGGTTTCTGGGCACAACTTGGTATGAATGTATTTTCTCTTTTTATATAATTTATGCAAAACGATGGTATGAATATTGGTGTTGGGATAAAGCTTTTCTTTCCTATATTTAACCAAATTATCATTTTTTATTTGTTGCTCTTTAGCTATGATAACTCATGGCGACTTTGGGATCTTGAAATTCAAGAAGAAATTCTGCATCAGGAGGGTCATAGTAAAGGTGTCCATGACCTGCACTTCCACCCGGATGGCTCTCTGGCAGGAACTGGGTAAGGGCCTCGCACTAAACCCTGAGGCACTCCACTGTTTTTGTAAAGGAATGAGCACCACACTCAGTCTATACAGTTACATCGATGCTCTTATGAGTCCAAATATGTTCAGTTTAGGACCAACCAAATAATAATAAAAAAAAAAACTTTAATCCGTCATACATGGTTCCTAAAATTAACCCTGATCCCTCTGATTGCAGCATTGGTCTTGCAGTATTCGCATTACCAGAGCCTGAACCAATTAGGCTTCCACTTAATTTTGTGATTGTTCATTCAATGTGCTTTTGATTGGTTGAATTAGTTCAAAAGGATTTATACTTGGTTTATTAATCTTCCAATTGTTGTGTTAATGTTATTCATTATTGCTCCATGTACAGTGGTTTGGATGCATTTGCTCGTGTCTGGGACCTGCGGACTGGTCGTTGTATCATGTTCCTGGAGGGCCACCACAAAGAGATTTACAGCATCAATTTCTCACCAAACGGGTATGTAAAAGAAAGCCCATGTGAATATTTGAAAGATTTAGTTAAGCTGTTTACTGTTATTTGAGCTTCATTTGATAATTAACCCTGAAATCTTCCTTGTGCAGCTTTCACTTGGCAACAGGAAGTGGAGATAACACCTGTAAAGTGTGGGACCTTCGTCAGAGAAGGTGCATGTACACAATTCCTGCCCATGAAAACCTTGTGTCTTCAGTCAAGTTCCAACGTAAGTATTCAAGTTAAGAAGGCATTTATCATCAGTCATTTAGAGATGATTATTTTGAGTATTCAAAAAATACTCATTTACTCGCCTCTTGTCAGCAACCCCAGTCCACAAAAGAAAAAGTCACATGGGTTTTGGATGAACAAATATTTTAGTGTATTTTTTTTTTTTTTTAGGTCCGTAGGTCTACTGTCTGTCAAAGTGAATGAGTCTAAATTCACCTCTACTGAACTTGCAAATTTGTGTAACATTTTTGCAATGTCAATATTAACAGTCTTTTCCTTTTAGCTAACGATGGGCATTTTTTGCTGACTGGTGCGTATGACAACATAGCCAAAGTGTGGACACATCCCGGCTGGTCACCTCTGAAGACTCTGGCGGGGCATGAAGGAAAGGTCATGGGGCTTGACCTTTCACCTGACGGACAGCTCATTGCAACCTGCTCTTATGACCGAACCTTCAAACTCTGGATGTCAGAATGAGATTCTGTTTGTCTTGATAAATTTTCATTTTTAATTTTCTTTCACATTTATTTTTTAAGTTTAGTTTTAAAGAGCTGGAAAACAACACAAGAGGTCTTTAAACTGGAAGCTGATTGACAGTTTGGTTCAATTAAAACAGAAATACAATCAAATGTTTGAGTTGTGTTGTAACAAGCATCAAGCATTCTAGTGGATTGTCTAAGATCTGAAATCCAGTATGTCCATTCTTAAATCTTTATCATTATTAAAGGTCTCTCATGTCCATATATCCGATTCCAGTTTTGAACACTGAGTTTTACAGAATTTGTCGTATTACTGATCCATTTGGGTACCTAAATAAAATGCATTTTATTGTCCCAGGCAATTTTGTAAAGGAATCAGTGGTTTCTGGACAGTAGGATATCCATTGTGAAATGTTTTTTTTTTTTTTTTTTTTTCTGCTATCTTTAAAATAAATGCATTTGGTTTAATATTTTGATATATAATTGCAAAGACATTTATACAAAATTAAGTGCAAAAGAAGATGAAAACAAATGTAGCTTTTAGCTTTTATACAACACAAAGATGATTGTGTGAAATAAATGTAAATAACAGATTACATGTTACTGAATACGCAGTACAAAGCTTTGCACTTACTAATTGGAAATTCATGCAATGTTCTTGATGGCCGAGGAGTCTGAATGAAAAAGGGAAGAACAAAACCATATTTAGCCTCTTTCTGAACTTGCCACAAAGACCTGCTTTATTCACAACAGAATTTAGCTCACAATGCGTCAAAAATAGATATATATTTTTTTCTCTGAAAGATTCAGTACATGCTCCTGTACAGCCAGGGTTCTGGAACTAAACTGGAATATGTGACTCTGAGCAGCTGGACTGCTACATACCCGTCTGCGGGACGTCTCCACCGTCATCCCTGCAGCACTCAAAGCAGCGATTCTTTTCTGAATATCTGTAACCTTTACATGAAGAACAGAGCAATGGTTAACGAACAGTTAAGGCAAGATATGGAGAGTTACGGCTTTGTTGGAAGAAGGAATTTGGAGTAAATGTTAATGTTTAGACTGAGTGGCGTACTCCACTTTGAGTGCTCTGGACGCTGGCCACTGCCCGTGCAACTTTACCCTCCAGTTGCGACAACTCACAGCTGGTTGTGTTGCTAAACTCAAAGGACCTCACCCTCTTCTGCTTCTTTAAGGATTTAGGTACAGTTGGCTTTGCTTTCTGAAGTATACAATTAGAAACATCAAATTAAAAATGTATATTAAATATTAATTTTTAATATTAAATAATATTAAAAATGAATAAGAACAGTAGAGTGCGTTCAAACCAAAGCACGGCTGAACTCAAGCATTTGTAAGAAACATGAATAAATATTCACTCTTTATGTTTAACAGTATTTTTAGTGCTAGATTCTGACTGTTTCCATAATCTTACCCACTCAACCTCAAGAGGCCATTCGTGTCTGACATTCTCAAGTCCAGCTGAATCTCCTCTCATAGCTGGAGCATAATAAACTGCTCCTTTCTTTGGAGAGTTCTCTGAAGGTTTCATTGCATCCTCCTCATCAGATGAGCCTTTGTCACTTATTTTTTCAGTAAGTTCATCAAGCTTTTTCCGGAGCTCAAGCTCCTCTAAGTCAGCTGGAGACAGATCCTCCTCTTTCTGCTCAACCTAAAGGGAGACAAGAAAAACTACATTAGGATTTAAAGTCAGGAGAGTCTCCATGTGATTCTTTCTAAACTGCGTCCTATCAGTAAAAGTGTTTCAGAGTTGCTGAATGACCTTTTATGGACTTATCCTGAAATGTTGATGATATGTTTCTCTTTTTAAGGGTAAAACCAATATACGGATTCTGCTAAAGATTTTTTTTCTGAGTAGTAATAAAGTAAATTACTACCATTCAAATGTTTGGGGTCAGTATGTTTTTTTTTTTTTTTGTTTTGAACACTGAGTTTTACAGAATTTGTCGTATTACTGATCCATTTGGGTACCTAAATAAAATGCATTTTATTGTCCCAGGCAATTTTGTAAAGGAATCAGTGGTTTCTGGACAGTAGGATATCCATTGTGAAATGTTTTTTTTTTTTTTTTTATCTCACTGTCATAGAGTTGAGTCTGTGCACCATCCACAGCAGAAAGAGATTGATAGCTGGTATGTGAACGTGAATCTAGCACCACCAGCAGCAGAGCAGGCAGTGCTTGCAACAAGGGCTTCTGCGGAAGCGATGCTCTGCTACTGCCACATTGGCCCAGGCTGAGGGTGGTTGATCTGTGATTGGCTGCTTTATAACGGAGGGCTTGGTCTCCAGCGGTGCTTTCTGGCTGTAGGTTCGCTGGTTTTCCACTTCAGCTTTAACACCCAGAAATGCTGCCAGGTCTAGGTCTAGTCCGGTGGCACCCCCATGAGGTAGAGGAGTGTTCTGCCGGCACTGTGGACAGGGGATCCACATCTGCGGGGAAAAGGCACCTCAGTTACAACCATCTGACACAGCTGAGCTGAGGTGTGTAATACAGTGCATCAACTACCAGGATTCAAAAGTCAAATCATATTTAAATACAGTTGTATACAATACAGATTGTTTCAAAGCAGCTTCACAGTAAACGACAAGAACATAACCGTATTAAAGTTGCAAAGTTATTTAGTTTTGAAACTATTTAATATTCGAAATGCAGTTCTAAAAAGATAGTCATTTTTCAGCTCAATTTAGTTCAATAACTGATTGTTGCAATGTTCATTAGAATCAAACTTTGTTCAATTATACAGCAGCTGTACATCAGATAGTGTTATTATACAGCTCAAGTCGTTTCAGTGTAGATTCAGATTAGTTCAATATTAGTGCGAATTTTAAATCGAGTTTAATTTAGTTCAATTTAACCCAAGATTTTGCTTGATTAATTCATTAAATATCGAATTAAGGTGAAAGGTAAACTTTTGAACTAATATTGCGTCAGTTGTTTTGTGTTACGATTTTTCTAATTATGTTATTTTTAAATATAAATATAAGATAAATATATCTAATTTTATATACATATATAGTCATTTTTCAGCTCAATTTAGTTCAACTGATTGATGCAATGTTCATTAGAATCAAACTTTGTTCAATTATACAGCAGCTGTACATCAGATAGTGTTATTATACAGCTCAAGTCGTTTCAGTGTAGATTCAGATTAGTTCAATATTAGTGCGAATTTTAAATCGAGTTTAATTTAGTTCAATTTAACCCAAGATTTTGCTTGATTAATTCATTAAATATCGAATTAAGGTGAAAGGTAAACTTTTGAACTAATATTGCGTCAGTTGTTTTGTGTTACGATTTTTCTAATTATGTTATTTTTAAATATAAATATAAGATAAATATATCTAATTTTATATACATATATATATATATATATACACACCAACCAATCCGTCATAACATTATGACCACTGACAGGTGAAGTGAATAACACTGATTCTCTCTTCATCATGGCACCTGTTAGTGGGTGGGATATATTAGGCAGCAAGTGAAAATGTTGTCCTCAAAGTTGATGTGTTAGAAGCAGGAAAAATGGACAAGTTTAAGGATTTGATTGACTTTGACAAAGGCTACATTGTGATGGCTAGACAACTGGGTCAGAGCATCTCCAAAACTGCAGCTCTTGTGGGGTGTTCCCGGTCTGCAGTGGTCAGTATCTATCAAAAGTGCTCCAAGGAAGGAACAGTGGTGAACCAGCGACAGGGTCATGTGCGGCCAAGGCTCACTGATGCACATGGGGAGCGAAGGCTGGCCCGTGTGGTGCGATCCGACAGACGAGCTACTGTAGCTCATATTTAATTTAAATATTTAATAAATAATTCGTAAATAAAAAAAAAATAAAAATAAAAACAAGGTTTTATCACTTCAGGAAGTCAACATATGAATACTTACATTTTTCGATGCACATTAAAATGGGATCGGAGAAAGTGTTTAAATCTAAGACTTCACCTTTAATTTAAACATTTTAATTGGGTTAATAAGCATACTTAAGCAGAAATATAAAAAATGTAAAAAAAAAACAAAAAAAAAAACACACATTTGACATTTTTTACCAATCTCTACACGGAATAACCCAGATAACACTTACCACACTAAAAAAATGATATGGTCAGTAAATCATGGCAACTTATGCTTTTACATTACTTTAACTCATTTAAATAAGTTTCAACTTTTTAGATAAGTTATATGAAACTCACCTTTAAAGTCGGTTTAATTAAATTTAAGTTGGAATGACTTGTTCAACCAAGTTGATTATACCAAGGTGGCCTACTTAAACATTTAAGGCAGCAACAACTTTTTAAATACGTTAAATATTTCTTATAGTGATAGGCTATATCTCTCTATAATTTGTTAACGCTAGATTATTAGCGGTTTTCCACAAACCACAAGATGGACAAACATCACTATTTACACTGAAAATAGTGATATTTGTGATGAAGCATTTAAGTAGCTTGAGTCCCACCTGCTCATTGATGAGGGTGTCCAGCCGCTTCAGACAGGCCTGGCAGAACGTGTGACCACAGTAGAGTTTGCGGGGGAGTCTCTCTCCCAGATTATAGGCACTGTAGCAGATGATGCAGTCCAGTTTCCGGCTGTCCCTGGAGTTCTGTGCTCCAGTCTCCACATCCCCTTCCACAGGAGCCTCAGACGCAGGCCCATCCTCATCCGAGACCCTACAGAACGAGCTCAGTATGATACAAACATCTCGGGGTCTTTGCCTGAGATGTTCAGTGCTGACTTTGTAATGGCTAATTATTTGTGGCCAACATAGTTGGCCTAAAACTTTCGGTACAGAGCCAGCAAAAATGTATTTGAACCATAATGTTCCTGAAAATATAAAAGCAACTTCAAACATCCACTAAAAATGACTTTGAAACCAGTTGGTTAAAATTGCAAAAATGCCACAAAACCAATAACTATTTACATTTTTCGCTCACAATATTTTACTCTTCCAGATACACAAGGTCAGCCGTTAAAGAGTGTGTAAGCCGAGCCGCATGTATCTGTTTACTATTAGTGGCCGCAGCAATAAAATTTGTATACACAAGATGTAATAGTAAAAGATCTGTTTGCTGTAGGTGTTTAACCTCTAAAAATTTTCTTTTTATTTGAAACCAGCTGTGCATGTCCAAACAAACAAGCACAAAACATAACCATAAACATACAATGTGCTCAGTCGTCTTGAAATATCATGATGGAAAAGGTTTTATTTGCATGACTTGTCAGAGTGATTTCATTGTTTATACTGAGAGCATGAACCGTACGGAATGTTTATTTAATGGAATTCATCATTTTATATATAATTAAATTATATAAAAAATGAATAAGAAACACATGCATAATCTTAAGAAGAAATAAAATGATAAAATAACATTTTATTTTTATTTTTTAAAAAGCAAAAATTCAAACATGTTATATTTTAATATGACATAAGCAATTTCCTGTAACTTCAAAAATGTATGTTCCATGCAGAAGGTCTACCTGTCCACCTCATCATTGGGTCTATTCTGTGTGCCATCGGTCTCTTGAGGTTCTGCCGTTCCGCTTGCAGTTCCATCCATGTTTAATGTACTAAAAGTCCAACTTCTGTTAACATTTTACAGCCGACTCTGTCTTGGTTTCTCCATGCTTCACATCCTTTGTCAGATAGTTTAACACTTGAGTGCACCCTTGTTGCTTTCCCTGAAGTTGTCCTTGCAGTTCCCAGCAGCACGAGTTCAATCTTTGTTGCTGTTTGCTCGTTCTCTCTCTCTCTCTCTCTCTCTCTCTCTCTTTCACCTGACCAACCAACCAACCACAACTGCCTCTCTGAAATGGAGGACAAACAATGGTGTGCTTCCCCAGAGCCTTTAATATTTAAGTACCGCCTGTCGCTGTGGACCTATGCCTTTAAACATACACAACTGCACGTTCAACCTTTGGAAAAAAGAAAAGCCATTGGTGGTTGTGGGAGGAGAGTTGCATGTTGTTGAGCAGGTGTTTTAGTCATTAGTCCAGAGTTGCACTTTTATGTATCTTCTAAAGCTCTTGGTATTAACTGCTCTGTTATTTTCCATTACTAAATAAGTAATACTTTCATTCTGTCTTGCATATAATAAGGAAAAAGTCTGACGGTTTGATTTGACGGAAGATTTGGGTTTAGTTTTGTGGAAAAACATGAAATTAAAGACATCAGACACATTTAGGGTGCAAGAAAGTAGAATGGGAGGAGGGCGTATCGCTTTACAGTCACAAAACAGGCCTGAAATTCAAGCCTAGTCACCCACAGACAGTCTGTCATCAACGCTTCCCTGCCAAATTAATTCTGAGACCTTCTTCAACCCCACACCACGGCTACGGGGTGTTCATATTGGCAGATAACTATTATTATTGACCAGGAGAAAGTGAAGTAGGAGGTACAGCTAAATTAGAGTCATGTTAGACTTAATGAAGGTAAATGAGATCTGGTGACCCGTTTCCTCAGATGTTGAGTCTTTAGCAGGGTTTGAGCTGATCTCCTGAGCCAAAACTGTGATATGATCAATCACTCTGGAGCATCAGGAAAATAACACAGTAACACAGCTGATTGGCTGATGGAAGAACACACACAGCCCTGAATCTCTTGACGTCAAAGACCGCAGACTGGGAAAAGCATTACAGTAAATCAAAGAATCCTGAAAGCATGCATCACTGTTTTTATAACAATATTAAAGGGATAGTTCACCCAAAAATGAAAAGTAAGCCATCATTTACTCAACCTGGTGTTATTTTAATGCCGTATGCCCTTCTTTCTTTTTCGGATCACAAAAGTAGATTTTATATTTTTTACTTCCATATAATAGCAGTGGAGGTAACAAAACAACAGGTATGAGGGGACCATTAGTTACTGTGGGTCAAGGGCTAGTTTACCCCAAAATACAAACTGTCATCGCTTACTCACCGTTATGTCATTCCAATCCTGTATGACTTTCTACTGTGGAAAATATAAAAAGATATTTTTAAGAATGCTAGGAACTAACAACATTGAAGCCCATTTGCTTCCATTGTATGGACACACACACACACACACACACACACTCATAAACATAAATAAATAAAACACAAAACACTGACACATTTCTAAAAATGTCTTGTTTAATGTTCCACAATAGAAAAAAAGTCATTCTTGGAACAACATGGGTAAATAATGACAGAATATTCATTTTTGGGTGAACCTTTTAAGCAATACAAGAGTTTGTATATATAAGTTCAGTCATGACTCACAACTTTTAACAATATTGAATTTTTAAAATCGGTTACTACACTGCAAAAAAAAAAAAAAAAATTTTAATTAAAATTTTGTTAAAATGTAATTAAGTTAGAAGAACAATACCAAGATGGCGCCGCGGATGGCCACCTCTGTGTTGTTTTACTGTTTTTGTTACTTTTCCCCATAGGCGCGGGAAGTGGGGGTTCTGAGGGTGCTGCAGCAACTGTTTAACTGTTGGGAATTAAAAAAAAAACTCGGAGTGTCTATTTACAGTAAGTGCAAATAGCCCGTCTTGTTGGCAGAAGCTATTTACACTAACTCCACTCACCAATGTGTGATTGGACTAGTCAAGATTACAGAAGACGGACATCAATCATCAGATTCAGTGGCGTAGATGGTAAAGCGTGTGTCCTTTTGACGCGATCGACCCGGGTTTGAATCTGCCTTTTGGTTAACTTTTTTTCTCCCTTTTCAAATTTCAAATCACATCAGAAAAGCATTTATTTTTAATAAAATAAAAATGAAGGAAATAATCAAAAAGTTGAAAATAAAGTATTGGGTAGGGTTAGGGTAGGTGTAGAGGGCTTTTGTCCCAATAAGGTGGCATCCATTTAATAATTTGAATTAAAATTGACCCTCAATAAGTTATTATTGCATACTGTTTTATAATGTATTACAATGCTGAGGTGCAGATAATTGCCACTAATTGCAATAAGTAATTAGCAGAATATCCTGCTATTTTAACATTGTATAAATAAAATTTATAGCTATTTGCACTTAGTGTAAATAGCATATAACTAAAAAATACTGCTATTTTCACTTAAATAGCCTCTAACCCCCCCCCAATACGCATACAGCACCCCCAACCTAAAACATCTTCCCACGCCCCTGCTTTTTCCCTGTTTTTTGTTTATCAAATACAATCGGTTTCACCAAGGATTAACTGCTGAACATTCGGCAGAACACCACGCAATCTTCTACCGGTTCTCGACTATTCTGATGTTTTGCTGGACATTGTAGTTGGCGGAGCAGCAGCGCTGTTCAAACGCTTTAAAGGCCGGGACACACCAAGCCAACTTCAAAGAACTAGCGGCGACGAAAGCGTCGGACCAAAAAGCTGCGCTCGAACACACCTAACACGTGCGTTCTGCGCATGCGTGAGAGGAATTAACTGTCTATATCAGCAGCTATCAATAGTATATATTCGTCATTCAAAATGAGAAACCGAAACAAAGATATACGTGATAAACGCAGATATACAAACGTAAACAAAGCAGCGCTTGCGTACCATTTTGAATATCAGTAACGTTGATAACTTTAATAATTTTAAGCGGCTCATGCTGTTATGAAAACATTCGTATATTAGAATGATTGGGAAAGATCACGTAACATTTAAACAGCCTTCTGTCTGTACCGCCTTCATTTACATGCTTGTTTTCATCACTTTCGCTTTAATTCTCGGGCACTGACTCGTTCGCTAAACTGAACATCCAATCACAGCTCTCACTCGCAAACTAGCCTGACCGTCGGCTTGGTGTGTCTCGGCCTTTAAATGGTGCTATATCAAAACATTTAAACAGCCTTCTGTCTGTACCGCCTTCATTTATGTGCTTGTTTTCATCACTTTCGCTTTAATTCTTGGGCACTGACTTGTTCGCCAAACTGAACATGCAATCAGAGCTCTCACTCGTGCCGACGGTCCCGACGCCGATTAAAAATGTTGTGAATTGGGCAAACTGCCGCCGACGTGAGCCCGACGAGAGCCGACGAGTGGAACACACCAAACAAACTAGGCCGACCGTCGCTCGCCGTCGGCCCAGACGATGGCCAACGGCCGACCGTCGGCTTGGTGTGTCCCGGCCTTAAGACGCGCAAGCGTGGGAAGCGAGCCGGCACGCTCGTCAAGCTCCGACAGCGCGGCTTCAGAATGGCGCTGCCTAGCATCCATCTGGCGAATCTCCGCTCTCTACCCAACAAAATGGACGAACTTTTCCTGCTCTCCCGAATAAATAAGGACTTTTCGAACTCTGCTGCACTGTGTTTCACGGAAACCTGGTTGAATGAAGCCATTCTGGACAGCGCGTTACATCTGCCGGGCTTCCAGCTGTTCAGAGTGAATCGAGACGCAGAATCAACAGGGAAATCGCGTGGCGGTGGGACATGCTTCTACATCAACGAAAGGTGGTGTAGATGTAACAGTGTTGAAGAAGACGTGCTGTTCTGATCTAAAAGTGCTCTTCATCAACTGTAAGCCATCGGGGAGTTGCCGCGGGAGTTTTCCTCGTTCATTCTCGTGAGTGTTTACATTCCACCTCAAGCGCATGTGAGCGCGACGCTACAATAGCTGACTGATCAGATCGCAGACACAGAGCAACAACACCCGGCCTCTGTCATAATCATTCTCGGGGACTTTAATAAAGCAAACCTCACACGCGAACTGCCATAACACATTACATGCCCCACCAGAGACAAAAATATTTTGGACCACTGCTACACCACAATAAAGAATGCATATCCCTCCGTCCCCAGAGCAGCTTTAGGACTCTCTGACCACTGCCTGGTTCATCTTCTTCCAACATACAGGCAAAAACTTAAATCTGCTAAGCATGTCTTAAGAACTGTAAAGAGATGGACCAACGAAACAGAGCGGGCATTACAAGTATGTTTCGACTTCACTGATTGGAGTGTTTTTGAAGCTGCTGCCACTGATCTGGATGAGCTCACGGATTCTGTAACATCCTACATCAGTTTCTGTGAGGATATGTGCATTCCTACCAGGACTCATTTAATATACAACAACGACAAACCATGGTTCACAACAAAACTCAGAAAGCTTCGCCAGGCCAAAGAGACTGCCTACAGGAGTGGGGACAGAGTCTTGTACAATCAGGCCAGAAACACACTGAATAAGGAGATTATGAAGCGAATCAACAACTTGCTTAAGACCTGAATGAGTTTTACTGTAGATTTGAAACTCCTGGTCTCACACCCCACACCCGCTCTGACCATCTCTCTACACAAACATTAGGGCCTTTCGCACCACTTTAGTTCCAGAACTAAATGTACAGTACTAAAGTACTGGGACGATTTTGCACGAACTATTTCCCAGTACCATTTAAAGGGTTGCATTCGCACCGACAGTGTGTACTAGGAAGTGACGTAAGCAGGTCGACAGCAACGTCATTTGTGCGCGGCGTTCTACAATGGAAACAAAGAAGAACAACGTTAACAACAGGAGGACGGAGGACGCTGTGATCGGCTGTGTTTTTGTTGTGTCTCGCGGGTTTCACAATAATGGACATGGAATGTCGACGTATACGTAAAGAGATTGAAAAATTACGTCACGGGTAGTACCAGTTGTGCTGGTTAGACCCTGCTCCGGAGTAGGAGCTAATTTGGTTCTCGAAAAAGGTAGTACGGTACTAAAATCGCACCCAGTTCC